TTACTAGATATTTCCAAGAGACTTGCACACCAATTTTGCCTAAGTGCATTGGATGTTCTTCCCGTTGTTGTGATTGTGCAGTGAGGGCACAGGCCGTTTGCATTCAAACAAGAAGGCACATTTTATTCAAAGAGGAAAGTGATGTCCTTGGAACTACAACCTTAATGAAACTTTGAAAGGACACATTGATTGGAATGGGAAGTGATCCAGAGAGAGGAGCTTCCAAAGACAGGCGGGTGGGTGGGTGATAGCAAAGAAAGAGAAGTGGCTCCTTGGACTCCAACTACAGCATCACAAGCAACTTTTGAAGATTATGTATAAACTCAATCTGAGTCAGACAGTGTAATCATACGAAGGGGACACGGCCACAGAATGCAAGGAAACTGTCCACCAAGCTGAGTTAGATGAATTCTAACTGTTCTCTCTAGTCCTAAGAGTTTTCAGTCCCAAATTGCTTAAATGAGTTGTTGAAGTTTCCCTGACTAATTTTGGCAGAAGGAACATTTCTAGCTTGTTGATTTGAGCATCCGAATGAACCAGTGTCTTCGGACATCTGTACTATAGAGACACCCTTATGTTAAAGCCCAGCTCCAGCACTATCCTTACCAAAATAGCACATTTCCGCTCATGCAGAACAGTGATTAGACTTTCCCAACACAACTCATACTTTTTAAAAGGCGCGTCAGAATTTTAAAGTGCATTAAATAAAGGGCATTGGCACATTAATACAGCTCTCTTTGAGGAAAGATGTCGCATAATTTCCGCTGAACCGTTGCACAGCCCTTCAATAAAGAAAGTTCTCAAAAGGGAAAAAAATACATGCATGCACACATTCTCAAGGTTGGGAACGGTGTCCTTGGGAACTAAATAACTTTATGTGTACAGAAAACTAAGCTGGGAAGGAGCAATGTTGCACAGGTTTAAAGACAGTGAAAGTCCCCCAAGAAACTGTTGTTAACTTATTTTAAATATTGTTTTTTTCTGCAGCTGTCTACTATGTGGCAGTGCTGACACAGAGTATTCTGTGTGGTAATGTGGTCCTCTCTTTCTTTCTTTTCTTTTCTTTTCTTTTCTTTTCTTTCCTTCTTTTTAGATGCTATTTCAATGGAACCATGATGTTAAAAACATACTGGAAGAGTTACAGGAAGAGTGTGACAGGTGGATCAGCTCCCTCTTAGCTTTGGCTCTGGCCCGCATGTCTCTGGCACCCATGCATGCTTAGTTTCTGCCATACAAGATAGGGGCTACATGCATGGGGAGGCCCAGCACTATGTCAAGTGCTCGGTTTGCAGTTCTGTCATGGTCTTCATGCATGGTAAAAGTGACATTGGAAATACAAGGTGGAATGGCACACAAATCCCAACCCCAAATGAGACAGCTTCTTCAAATCAAGAGACTGAACTAGATGGACACAGAAGGACCTGTTCAGTGCATTTTTCCTCTAAGACAGAGCATATTCCAAAGTTTCAATTCTTTACAAAAGGAAACTGGCAAGATAGAAAAAAAAAATTTCTACTGGGAAGAATAGTCCCAGCTAAACACCTTAAGAGGTTTTTATTGCTTGTTTGAGTTAGAAAGAAATGCTCATTCTAGTCTGACACTTTCTTTTTCTATTTACTAAGCTTATGTCAGTTATACTTACTGTCCGATTGGAACACGTAGAAAACAAAACAAAGAAATTGTGCTGTGAGCGACATTAATAATTGTGTTGGCCTTCTGGATGGTGGCTCTCTCAGCACAAAGATCTGGTAGCTAAACCTGTTCTGATGATTAAACTGGTAGAGATACTGAAGTTCCTAGTTGAAAAAATGGCTTTCACCTGTAGGCTTCCTGCCACAATCAATTCGCCATGAGAAATGTTCAGTGGGATGTAAGCAAGCTCCTTTCTAAACCACAGGAGGTAACTTCATGGCTGACGGTGCCTTTTTTTTTTTTTTTTTTTTTTTTTTGTAGCATTCAAAATACTTCCATTGACTTCTTGCTCTTATGGCTGCCACCTCTTGATTTTTCTCTTCTTTATTCAGTGTCATTTGTCAACTATAACTGATCCAGATCTCCCCTATTTAAACCATAAACTGCCCAGAACTGGGCCAACTGGAATAGGGTGAGATTAGACAGGGTCACCAGAAATCTTTACTTGGCACTAATGGTTTCCCAGTCCCTGGGTAAAGGGGACTGGGAGAGCAAGAAAAACAATACCTCTAGGCAAAAAACAGGCATCAAAGGTCCGAACTGCTGTATTTTAGGAAAAGCCGTGTCACCCCTCCTCCTGAGGCACATAGCTAAAACAACACTCAAAAACTTTTCTCATCATGAAAACACAGCAATTTATAAATGAACAGGGGGTATTAATTCCTCATGTGTTGAAGTGATTTGTAGAACTTGATCAACAAAATTACAAAAACCAGTGCTGTGGACATTTTTAGCATGTTCTAACGTCATAGGCATATTTTGAGAAATAAAACATAGGATTCAAACACTTACCACCAACACAAGTTTCTTTTGAGCAAACTCTGTGAGATGTCAGGGACAAAGGCTCAGTTTTCCTTCCATGAGAAAATGAATTGCACATTTATCTCAAGGGATGCATTATAGATTTTATAATTTTGGTAGAACAACCTAGCACAGCTTCAGCCTCCCACATGGGTATATGTTACTGTGGGAGGAGGGTGAGATACAAGCCCCATTAATAATAGCAGTTGCATGCTTAATTTCATGTGCACTGCACTGAAAAATTACATCTTGCTATCTAAAATAAGATTCCAGAAGAGCTTGGGAAGTCAGGAGCTCTTCCAACATACGTTTTCAGTGAGCAAGCTGCCAGTGACTTACAACATTTAACAGAGAAAAACTAAGGGCACCGTGAATGAGTATCCATAAGACAGATTAGATGTGAACAACTCCAAGATCGAGGATCAGTTCCCGACAAAGGAGGTTTGTCAAAACACCACAGTTCTTTCTACATCCAAACAGGAAGATGATAATTTTATAGAAACTACTAATTGTGAAATACACAACAAATTAAAGGGAAGGCACAGCCTGCATTGAAAGGCAGCATTAGAGGCTCAGGTGCAGAGCTGAGTCATTAATCAAAGCAGGGTCCTTCCAATATGTAACCTTCAAAACTCGTTGTTCTCACCATTGTTGCTCTCACCATTGTTGCTCTCACCATTGTTGTTCTCACCATTGTTGCTCTCACCATTGTTGTTCTCACCATTCTTCACTGTTGCAAATACAGTGTTAAGTCCTCATCTTCCTTGTGTCCACAGTAGACTTTCGGAGGTAGATGCTTCTGAGACTCTTGTCCTACTCATATGTTTCATATAACTGTTAAGTCTAATCTTAATTAGCCCCATAAGAGTAAAAGCAAAAACCCTGCTTTTCTTCTGGAAAGACCAATTCACCTCAGGATTTTGATTAAGACTTTCATGATTTTAGCATGAAAAGTTTTACCTTCTAGGAAAACCATTAGTCTTTGAAAAAGAGTATAGTTGACCGCCCTCTGTCACCTCTTGAACTCCTCATTTCTGCCGTGCATTGCTTCATCTTTTCTGTGGGCACCTGCCTTCTCCCTGACCCTTGATTTCATTCATTCCCTGGTCTTCTCATAGTCCTCAGAAGATGACTTTTTCACCATATTTCAACCCTGTCATTCTTCAACCCCAACTAATGATGCTTAGACTTGATTCAATAGCTCAAAAATACTTCCCCAGTCAACATCCAATAAACAGTTGCTGAATGAGTGAATATATAAGTTGATTAAAGAAAATCTGATTTTTCCCAGACATAAATGTTCAGCCTGGATTCTCGACTTGATTCAGCACGTTGAGGTATTTTGCTTGCTATTCACCTCATATTAAAGTAGTAAGTACCTGTGTGGGCTCAGGGCCAGGTCCAAGTGCAGGTTCTAAAGCTTCTTAGGTATAACCCACTGGAATTCTAGGATGCTCAACTTTAAAATGGGTGCCTTCGTCCATAGAGTTTCCAGTGAACACTAAGCCAGGTGATGCCTCCAAAAATTGACCTTCCTGGCTATCCACAACTATTATCACATGACTTTTATTCATGTTAAAAGTTAATATTGTTACTATTGTCACACACTATAATCGGCATTATAAATGAAAGCATCTTTATTGGCAGGTAGAGCAGCAAAGAGAAGAAATAGGCCCTCTCTACTACAAAGGACTCTCATTTCCTGGTCTCTAGAAGAGTGTTTCTCTATTGGGAGCTAATGCTACTACCCCTACCACATCCAGGGTGTATTTGGTTATGTCTTGTGACATTTTTGCCTGTCATGATGGAGATGGGTCATCCATTGAATAGAATCCAGGGTACTGTTGTTATAATTCATAGGACAACCCCACCAACAGAAAGGCATCTCTAAAATGCCAATGGTGTAAATATTAAGATGCTATTCGATAAAATGAGGTGGCTGGACCAGGGGATGAGGCCAGGTGAGCTTTCTCATTCCTCTCAGTTCAAAATTTTTCTAAGTTTCTGATTTCCCTAATGAATTAAAACTATCATGTTCTCAGGCTGTTCAATTAATTTTTTTTATCACTCTATTTTTAAGCTCTCTTTTTCCCCCCTGGGTGTCAGAAAAGTAATTATTTAATATACTCTAAGTTCTCTTCAAATTTAGCTCAATGTTCATTGTTATGTCTTTGGGCTGCTTAATGCAAATGTTATCACATGTCTCAGTCTACTGTTTTAGTTAGGACCTGAGTTCAAAAGAACATGCCCTTCCCTAGGGATATGACCAGAGACATTCCACTCCTACCCCAGATGCCACAACAGACTAGGTACATTTACTTGCCACAAGAAAGCTTGACTGCTTAGTCATTATTCTTGTGGTCATGTGCCCAGGTATGTTGGGGGAAGAAAACTCGTACTAGAAAAAACTCAGAAAATGCAGATATTGGGATCCTGTACCCAATATCTCACCACACACTCATGACACGTTATCACAATCCTGGTCCATATTAGAATGCATTGGGAGAATAGTTACCTGACATGGGAGATACCATGATCAGGAAGGTGGTTTTCCCAGGGTGAAGCTCATCCATTGCACTTGGGATGTGCTGACCCCTGCAATTTCCCCAAATGCAGGAAACTCGGTTGCATAATTTGTGGTAGTGGAGGACTGCGTTCATGTACTCCCCTGTATTTAAAAACTGTATTAGGAGAGAGTGGCAAGATGGCAGTCGGAAAAAACATGCCCTTTCAAACAGAAAGACCCAAACTCAACCTTGGAGCCCATTTGAAAAGCCAACACCAGTGGCATGTGACTGTCATCCCAGCTCTGAGGATTCAAATGTGTTCATAGCTAGGTCGGTAACATGGAACAGCAGGTAAAAGTGCTTGTCACACAAACCTGACAACATGAATTTGTACCCCAAAACCCACATAAACATGGAAGGAGAGAAGAGCATCCACAAGGCTGTCCTCTGACCACTACATGTGGACCATGGTTTATGCCCACACACACACATCATACACACACGTGTGTGCACACACATGCACACAGACATGTATATATACATGTACACAAAAAATAAATTTAAAAATAAGAGTATTGATAGGTGTGTTGGTTATTCTTACCTCGCTACAGTCAGCTAGTCCACAGAAACAACTTAAAGGAGAAGAAATTTATTTTCATTTATAACTTCAGGGAATTTCAATTCAAGGTGGAGAAGGCATGGCACAGTAGCACCATCAACGCCACCAGAACCCTGAGGCAGTTATTCACATGTGGCAGACTAGGAAGCTAAGAGCAGTCAGATAGGGGCTATAACATTCAAAGGCTCATCCCTGGTGATCTACCCCTGCCAGTTAGGCCCCATCTCCTACTGGTTCCATAGCCTCCTAAAACAGTGCCACCAGCTGGGGAACACATGCTCAAGCCATGAGCCTGTTGGGGACATGTGTGTTATTCAAACCATAACAATAAGGGGAATCCAGGTGAACCGGCTGGCCTTGAATTCTCGCCCCTCCTTTCCTTCCTGTCTATTCCCATGGTCATCCGTACTCTGCCAGCACTCCCAGTGTCCTCTTTCCTCCCACATCCTTAGCTATAAAACTAGCCCTGGCCTCTTCTCTAAGCTGTGAATGACAGAAGATGAAACCAGCTATGACCATCTTGGCCTAAATGTAGAGAGAAAATAACAAAGGACAAATCCAATAGACATCAGAGAGGAGGTGAGAAAGTGCCTCCCTGCACTTGTTTGCCTCCCCAATCCAGAAAAGTTTGACAAAGGTTCATCCCTCCCTGCCACACCTGATTCAATGGACTCCTCTTTTGCTCAAGCTCCATTCAGTGGTATTTTTGTCTGTTGGAGACAGAATGCACCTCACTGGAATCACCTGAAAGACATTCTTTTCCTATGGAGGCAAAAGCTATCCAAATTATTAAACTTCAACCAGTTCCACACAATTTCAGTCTTAAATGTTCATAAGTAATAATGATTACAGTTATATACTTTACTGGGGAAAAATGACAAACTTTATGAATTTTCAGGAAAACTAAGCACTACCTGTGTTTGGGAAGGATGCTAATATTGGTATCCTAGACCATAACATTGGCTCTATCACTTCATAGACTAGTCTTAATATTTCCAAAAGAAGCATCATTAAAGAAATGTAAAATAAACATCATTAAAGAAATGTCCAAGAGAGTTCTATTTTTTCCATGTTGATTAAATTCAAAGAAAAAATATTTTTCTTGCCACTAATATTAATATACAAAAGAGTCTCGTTCTTTATAGTCTTATATGGCCTTGAATCATCAGAGGCTAGCACATGGCAGCATTGAAGGGTTTGAGGCCTTCATCAATGCCTCATTGAAGGCTCCCTCTTCAGTGCCAAGGGCAGACTTCCACAGCCTTGAGCCATTCCTCAAGAATGTCTTCTTTTCAGAGTCAGCCAACACACTGAGGTTCCTCTAGTAGACTTGACTAAAAGCAGACGTCTGCATCATACTGAGACCCAGGGCGACTCAAAGCCTGGTTCACACTTGAAAACGAATTTGGTGCTAAGTCTTCAGCTTGTTTGAAAGGAATTATCAGAGCCAAGGCAAAGAATTCTGGAACGTGGACAAATGCTAAATTTTGGGCCCACAAGCGTAGAAGATTGACTTGACTAGTGGAAAAGCACCAGACTTCTCTTGCCAATTCAAAAACACTCCAGGGCAACCCCAAAACCTCTGGGCTGGCGAGAATATCCCTGGCCATCCCCTCCTATTGTCCACTGCTGAGCAGCCAGTGCCCTGATGGTAATGTTCAGCTATAAACCTGAGGCAGCCTGCTGGGCCTGGCAGAAGCTGGAGCCTACATAAACACTGTCACCTTCCAGACACGAACATCATGTTCAGTTATTGCCCAGTGCCCTCCCCTCCAAGCTGGAACCTGGGGGTTCATTTGGTTCATCTCATCCTTTCTGGGCCCATCTATCTTGACTTCCACCACCAAAGCTGCTCAGCTGTGACCTCCTCCATTCTTTCCTCTGTCAGCTCTCCAGCCACCTGCCAGGGTCATGGAGGCAGTATTTCCTGTATTGCCTGCCAGGCCTGTATTCTGCATAGATGGAGTTGAAGTCTACCCACGAGACCTGATTTCAAAGATGTGTGAATGTTTGTGGGGCCTCAGGACAGCATCATTCTCACCCAGTGATTGAAATATTCATAAATAGTAAGATTGACTCTCACGGATACTTACTATATGCCTGGTGCTAGTCTAAAAACTATATGCATATTGTCATTTAGTCCTTTCATGGGAAAATTAGAAAAGAGGTATGTAAAGTGACAAAACGTTTGGCAGGAATATCCTGGCTGAAATTCATACTGAAGTATTTATGGCTGACTGCAGGCCTGATCCCATAATGCTTTTTAATGAATGTACAGAAGAGACGAAGACAGAATACCTTAAGGAGATACTGGGGGCCACATTGGTAAGCCAGAGGCAGAGAAAGGGAGACCTAGCATATACATAGCAATGCCTTGAAGCATCCCTCGCCCCATTCTGAAACTGTTCTCTTTCATTTGCCTTCTCAATCAAGTACATCACAACATTGTTTTCCAAGAGTTTTAGAGTCTCCCTTGAGCTCTTGATGTCACACTTCAGTAAGAGCTCTGTGTGAACCCCAAAAAGAAACGAAAAGTGCACCAAGCTCCAGCAGCCCCAGTGCGGCTCCCCTTTGCCCCTACTCCACCTTCTTGCCTATCACCTTGCAATACAATAATCAGAACGTGATTTGTGGCAGCAAGCTTTAGGCCTGCTCTAGAGTTGGTGGAAAACAACACGATATACAAGCAGAAGATGTGTAACTTTTCCATCTAAGACAAATATTAGCTTAATATCACACTGCTGTCTTCAGACTGCTTTATGGGGATTAATTACATGATGTCTACAAAGCAGTCTGAGAACTCCAGGATTGGTGCTATATAAATACAAGGTATGATTATTTTTAGGAGTTTCTACGGCTGACATTCAGCATAGCATGAAAGAATGAAAAATTATCTTCATGTTCCCCGTCGTGGTAACAACTTCAGCTTAGGGTTTAGAAAACCCATTTATAGAAAGTGCTAAAATTAACAGACACATTCCTTACATGAACTCATCTCTATAGCTTCATCTATGGAAGAAGAGACCTTTCTAAGCACAAACTTTTAAAAATGATGAATTTCTAGGCCAAAGTAAGAAATTAAGAAATTTAATGTTTTCAAGGAAATACCCAGGCTTCAGGCTCCAGTCCAAGTCCATGCCTCCAAGAGATACTGTGTGTCTGTATGCTGCCTGCCCATTCTTAAAGTTCTCCAGCAGGCCAGTTTTCAACCCACTTCCACCACTTGCTTCTATTTAACAACCCCAATGTCAGGAAGGTCTCCCAGCATCTTACCTAAATTCTTCCCTGGAGATGTCCCAGCTTTGCTCCTATTTGCTGTCAGTGCATCCAGAGCTCAGCCCATCAACGACTTCTCCAGGTGATTAAACAGGAAGCTTCCCTGTTCTAATTTGTGATGTGTCCTAAAAATTCTGGCATGCTTTTCAAGTTCAGGAAGAAATGACTCTGTTTCTGAACCACTTTTCCCTAAATGCCATTTCTCAATTCTACTTCTGTTGTAGGTATTTAGGTAAATCTATCCATCTCATGAAATCAAAGCTCCCAAAAGGTAGAGACTTCATCCCTATCTCTTTTAATGCCTCAAACAGAGTGGGAGAAGAGTAAGTAGATTAAATTTTCATCACGCAGCTAAAGTCTTGAGAGTTAGTAATGCTAGAATATGAAAAAAATGAGACCTGGCTGGGAGCTGGGTATGGAGGGGCACACCTGTCATCCTAGCACTTGAAAGCAGAAGTCAGGAGGATCCTGAGTTTAAGGTCACCTACAGAGGGATCTTGAGGCCAACCCAGGCAACTTGAGAACGTGTCTAAATAAATAAATAAAGCCTGGCTGGATGGTGATGTCTGGGCATTTTCGTGACCTTACATGTACCATGTAATTCTTAGCAACTGACCCTACAGTACATGCCCCAGTGATGTTCCAGTCTTTATACTTAAATTGTTTTGAGTTTCACAATTCTTTTTTTTAATTCTTTATTTAATAACCATATAATTAGAAGAGGAATTTCATTACAACAGCATTGGCATATTCAATGACAATTTCCAGAGCTAAGATGCTTCTCTTTCAAAATTGGCTGTAAATTTTTAGGTTTACAGTTGAATTAATACAGTTATACAATATTGTACTCCATATAAGCCCTATAAGAGATACAACTAAATGAGGTTTTAAACTTTGAAAAAGGTCTCCATTTCATTATTAAAATACACAGTTTCATACAGAAAAATTCATTTTCAATACAATTGACACTAAGATGCATATGCATTTCTAATCTCTATATATCTGATTATTACTAGTCATAGTTGGTTACCTTCTGAGCTCCTTGGCTTCTGAGCATGGACATAAAGTCATCAGGTAGATTTCAATGGTGATGTTTTTCATATCTACTAATTATTAAGGAGAAAATTTTTATGTTTTGAAGAATTTTTTTTTATACTCTCACTTCCCGGGTAGCACCCTCCCACAGCCTCCCTCCCCCACTAGAGCCCTTATACTCTGATATCCCTGCTACTATCTGCTATGTTGTCAGCACCCCCAGTCATTCCCCAC